GGGGGGGGGATATAACCCCTAACATCCCCCCTTGGGCACGCCACTGTCTCTCAGGACGGCGTGCTGTATACTCGGATTATTCCATGGGCTGCGCGCGCATTCTCGCATCGGCGATACATCGACTCGTTACAACGTCGAGCAGGCTGCGGTCGCCGCGCCACCATTCGTCTCATCGAATCACATCGACTTGGTTGCGCTGATGTCACCGTCCAACTGACCGGATCGAGAATAGGTCGGATATATACKCAGTTTTTGACAACGAACTGGATAGCACGGCTCGGTGTGCCCGACGTAATGGCCCCCGACCAAGGCCGAAAGTTCGAAAAGGATCTGTTCAAACCACTTTTGATCACCTTCAGAAATCAGCTGCACATTCGAACAGTATCACATTCAAGTCAACGGGATGGTAGAACGTTTTCACGCACGCACGAGGTACCTACACAYCCGTGCTCACCGTGGACGAATCACCGCAGTGGTCACTGTGGTCAGCCAAGCTGCCTTAAAGCGGGCATCGAACAAGCTCCGGCCGAGTTGGTATACGGCACCACGTTCAAACTTCYAAACTGATGACATTCAGCTCGCTACCCCGCTAAACCCAAGCAACGACCGTCCGAGCTGGTAGCTGCGTTGCGAGACTCCACAACACAATTCCGACCCACCCCAGCAACGAACCAGGATAGTTAACGCACTCCGGACTCATAAAATCATTCATCGCACGGAAGGATCCGCTTTCCAACCACACGTATGTTGCAATCCGTCGATGTCAAGTAAAGTAGTCTTGATCACCTTTCGCGTGCTATCACCATTTAACTATACAACAATGCAATTGTATCAACCGAATTTCACCCCATCCTTTTTATTGTTGTAATTACTCAACGACTGGCATACGTGTTGTTAACGCGCGAACAGTCTATATAATTTTATTTATGTACTCTACAACAATCGATTGATCTCGCGTTCGCCCCTTCCACGCCACGCAGGCTTATTGCGGTGCCGGAACGATTTCGCCAGTGGGTGCACRGSTCTTTCTCATTCACTACCGATCTCGCGCAAACTCGAAATTTTTGGYGCCGCTCGCCGTAATAAACATAATAMACTAATTATTAAGGCGTTATAATTCTCTACTCACGATATCGTAAGTGATATATCGAAATTTATTGTTTCTACAATATTGTTCGAATACGATACCCAYCACCCAGTCGACTGGTYCCMATAAGCTGGTGGGACGGTAAGTCGAAAGTTCGCAAAGTCGTCAACGCCACCGACGTCACAGCCTACACAAATGACTGGTTGTTCGTCGATGCTCACTTYTTTTTCGGAGTTCGGAGTGGTTGGACTTCACGGGGTTTTTTTCAGCGAGTCTTTTCTCGCCGCACGGCATAAACAGTGTATGTGTATGACACACATAAATTAATTAACACGCGACCGTTTCGAATGCCAGTAATATATGTCGAGCCTCGACGAACGTCGTCTTTGTTCGTTTCATCGGATTTTGGGCCATTCATGATATTTAACGACGTGGTCGCAGTGTTAGTCAATTAGACCCCGTTCGAACCATACGTTATTTCGATTCCGTATTTTTTCATTTTGTAAGCTTTATTATATGCTTATTTCTAGGTTAGTAGTTGTACACAGCATATTTCAAAACGTATGTGCAGTGGCGACGAGGCAGGTTAGCGAGTAATGCAACTGCATGTGTTCTCGAGGAAGTGGGGTGTATATTACTGCATACAGGTTTCATAGGGAAGTTTATAAATTTATAACATACACTATAGTCCACAATAATTAATTTTTTTGAACTACAGTTATAAATAAGTGAAAATATTTTTTATAAATAAACAATTGGGTGGGTGGGTGACTAATTTTTAAAACTACATGTCCTCTTAAATTACCTTTATGCACCACTGCGTATGTGACCAAATTATAAATGCTTTTCGTGCATATATTGATAGTTGATCGAAAATCAAGCACTTAGGTAAATATTTTTATGAATCAAGGTATAATTAGGTACATTAAATATATTAAATATGGATGAAGAGTGAAATTTGTACTAGCTCTTTAATTTTGTTTTAAAATATATTGTATATGATTGTGATACACAATATACTGTGTATATTTAAATATATGTGTCCCACAAAACAGAGGGTACACACTGTATATATAATATTTAAGCATATATAATAGATAGGTAAAAAATTGAATTAAGGAGTTTTTAGGGTAATAAAAGAATGTAATTTTTTTAAGGCATATTCAACTGCGTATATTTGATGAATTTTTAGTATATAAAAGTCCTCGCTCCACATGTATTAATTACATTTACATCCAATCATGTCTACTTTCAAGTTTATTGTTTTAATCACAATTAWATAATCCAGTCTTATAAAGTATTATTAAATAAAAGTCCAGTGGCCTTTGCAATTCAAGATCCTTTCCTACGTATTCGAAATTGTTAACATAACTGTTCTACCTAACTATTCCCTTTCCCCCACCTAACACTACCTCTCTCTCACCCTATCCCCCTATAACACCTTCCTCTTCTGCTTCACTCACCCCACCACTTTACTCTACTTCTCATTATTTTTCTCTCATCCCCTCTACCTATCCTTCTCTACCCYCACTCTCACACTCCCAGTCACTATAGTACCTACAGGTCATCGTACCTGATAATTGGTGAAAATATTTAAATATCATTGAGGAAAATATTTTTAAAACAATTTTAAAATATTACACCTGACCAACTTCCTAATTTTCAAAACAATTAATTTAAACACTGCAGGCAATTTATCCCCTGATCAATATATAAATTAATAATATAAAAAGAGACCTACTGAAAAATAGAAAATTACTTATACCTCATATCAGAATCTACTATTAAACTTCATCTTCAAAACATTGTTAACACATTTCGCACAGGTCACACAGCTGAATATGATATTTAATTGGAAAATKTTCACTGATGAATACYATTTCTGAAATTTCAATAAAATGTTCAACAATATAAAATATAGCTAAATAACCCGTTTAATGTTTAATTTTTACCGTATGGAACTAATGATTATATGTGTTTTAAATAGTTTATTCAAGAACTTATCAATTTTGTATGTATATAAAGATATAACATTTCATCACTAGCAGCAACAAGTTACCTATTGGCTACTAGAACTCTGATATCATCAATTCATTTTTATTTTAATAATTTTTTATACAAAGCTTAATTATTATTGCTTATTATAGTTTGTTTATTTATTTTATTTCAATAATTTAAAAATATTATTCCAATTTATTATTTATTAATCTTTGATATATTGTGTTTTAGAAAATAAATGATAAATGCAATTCCTATATGTATATACAAAATAATTATAAAATTGTTTACCTGTAAAGTTGTAAAAATTTAATTTAATATAAAATTGTTTTTAAACTATTAAGCACTATGCATTATAAATATAAAGTATAAGTAGGTAATAAATTAACCTATGTGAGTTATTGGCTTATTGTATAATATATTTTGTATGCATATTGTATAATATTATATACCATAATAAATACCTAATGTAATTTATCCAATAAATCATTTTCCGATAATTTCTAATATACAAAACCTTAACAACCATGAGTTTTAATTAATTGTGTTTGTGTTATAGTGCTATTACAATATTAACAGCTATCAAATATACAGAAGTTGAGAAATAAAGTAATTGGATGGTTARATGCTACAACTTCAGTGATACTGAATATGAGAACAGTAAGTACCTACTCAGTAGCTACGAAGTTGCAATTTTTTACAAACTCTATTATTATTTTATTTTTTTAGGATATTAAATTTATCATTGGAAATCACACATTAAAACAAATCAAATGAAAGTTCACAAAATTTYATTAAGCTGTAGGTACCAATGGAAACTTAGTGTGATAAAATATCTGACTCTAGTAGTAAATAATAATGTTATCTCGATCTGATGTTTGTATGAACTTTATGCTCAACAACAGTTTGTATTTTGTCTACAGATTCAGAAACTGAAGATTTTAATGATAGTAGGTACTATTAAAGACAAGGACTAGAAGGAAGACGAAAGCTCAGAAACATCATCAGAAATGTCTAAACCAGAATGTGATGACATTTTAACTAGTGATTCCGCTTCATGGTAAACCTGGATCCGGTATCTATGCATGTGATTCGCAAATTGCAAAGTTGAGGATTAATTGCTAACGACAATACACTAAAATGTAAAAATGGCCATTTTTTAAAGCTATATCCTTCTTCCAACGCTTGTGACGGATTTGTGTGGCGATGCAGAGAGTACATTACAACGAGAAAACAAAAAAAAAATAGATGTGAACATGTTCAGTCTTTACGAAAAAATACATTTTTTTGTAAATCACATTTGTCACTATACCGAATCGTCGTATTTTCATATTTATGGATAGAAAATGTTTCTTTGAAATTTTTATCAAAACAAGTAAAAATATCGAATAGTGTTGCGGTTGACTGGGCTTCGTTTCATCGGGAGGTTGTATTTGATGCGATGATTGTACGGCATAATAAAATTGGTATGTTTCAATTTATAACAATTAGATAAGTACCTATTTTAATATTTTATGAGTACGTAATTATTATTTATTACAATGAAGGGGGAGTTGATAAGATTGTCGAAATTGATGAATCAAAGTTTGGCAAACGAAAGTATCACCGTGGTCACCGGGTTGAAGGACAGTGGTTATTTGGAGGTGTAGAACGGGGATCCAGAAAATGTTTTCTCATTCCAGTGGAGTTCAGGGATAAAAATACATTATTGGCTATAATAAAAGAATGGATTTTACCAGGCACTACCATAATAAGTGATTGTTGGAAGGTACGTCAGTATAATCACCTATAGGAAATAAGGTCCTACTTTTTTATTATGTAAATGTTTATTGTATAACAATTAACATAACTATTTTAAATTTGAATTTAGAGCTACGACTGTTTAAAGGATGAAGGGTATGCTGTATGCTCACTTAACAGTGAACCATTCCATTAATTTTAAAGACCCCAAAACGCATGCTCATACAAATAATGTGGAGGCATGCGAAAGCATCGCTCTCCCAATTTAATAGAAAAAAACATTTTTACGCCGGATACATGGCAAAATGTATGTTTTTGAAACAGTGCCGTGCCYAAAAACTTGAACCATTATCTGCATTTTTCGAACTTGCTGGATATTTATATTCACCAGCTGCACACGTTGAAAACGAGGATTACGTAACCGACGAAGATTCTAACATTTCCAATGACGATGATAGTACTGATTACGATATCGAATATCGATGTGTAAATAAATAGATATTAATAAAATGTTGATTAAACCAGAAATTTGTTTATCTTTTTTTTTAATATCTTAATTCAATGTGTCGAGTAAATAAGACGACTAGCTGATTGTGCAAATTGTGATTTCACAAGTAAAAAAAAATTCAAAACTAATTATAGCTTACTGCCAGGYGCTGCGCTCAGAATTAAAGCAGTGTTGCGCACATGCGTATTAACGTAAAATCGCAAACTTTGGATGGCTATAACWTCCAAAATAATGGCATCCGCTCAGTTTTTTTTTTGCCCCATCGTTCTTAACTCGCAGAAATGCGTATATTTCGAAAAAAAAAATTCAAAAAATGTGCTGGGTAGCTAAAGTGAATTTATGCCAGATAATTATCTAGACAACCTCATGGCTCATATGATTTTTATAATATTTAAATTTTAAATCTAGTTAAAGGGTTAAAACACACAGCTTGAGACATAATAAGGAGTATGAWTTTTAACGGGCTACGATGCTACGAAGTGCACGGTTTCGGCTAGTGTTATTAATTTATTATATTAACTCAGTACTCACTATCAATAAATTATTATAATATAGAATTATAAGGAAATACGTAATTAAACTTTTAAAATTACGTATGAATAATAAATAATAATAATAATATTAATCATACATACCTACTCGTTGAGACAATGAGATGATTTATAGATCAATATATATATTTTAAGCAATTTATAATTTATCCATAGCAACCAGATCTTTTATTTAACTTTTATTTATCATAAGCTATAATACATATATATAACTATCACTAATAGCGAAAATTTATAAATAAACAAAAATTTCCATCGTAAATCTCAAAATGTCTCTTTGAGCACCCCCCGTGGTTGGGCCTATCACTTTTCAACTTAGCATAATATCTTCTGCAGTTCTGCCCATAGCCAATAAGTTTAAACAAATTTCGTCGCAATCGGTTGAGCCGTTTATAGGAGTGCATAAAGTACAAATCGTCAGACAGAAATCCATTTATATATATAAGACAAATAATAATCGTATTTTTTGTATAGATAAAATAAACAATATACAATTAAGCAAAGTACGAACAATATAGGTAGGTACAAAAAAACGACCAATATAATTTTATAAATAAATTAAAAATAGTACATAATTTATTAATTTATTATATAAACTAGGTAAAAAAAATAAACGACATTTAATTATTATTTATTGTAAAATTTTGAATTTGCCGCTATAAAAATATGGGCCAATCAAAAACCACTCTACTCACAATTCTAATAGGTTTAGAAATCATGCTAACCATTGACGGTTGACATGATAATAGAAAATCATGGTATAGCCAGTATAGCTGGTTATTGATTAGGTCATATATGGTTATAGTAGACATCAGCAGCAATGTTATGCCTCAGAACGTCAGAACAGTCAGAACAATAGTTATGCGTTAGGCCCATAGATAGACAAAGCCAAAAGGGCTAGGCCGGCAACTCGGGCATAGGGGATAGCTTGATTTAAAAATGTTCTGAAGGAGTTAAGAACTTTAGTAAACTGAACTCTGAAGCAAAGTACTTGAGTTTATATATTACTAGGGCATTGTAGATAATAGGTATAARATTAAGTATCTATTTGGAGATTTAATTAGGYCATTTGGCCATAATATATATATTATTTTCCATACGTTAGGTATCTACATCACTAAATCACTTACAATTTAGAATATTATATATAATTAAATGATTACATACCTAAAATTAATACATTTAAATCATATAATGAATTGAAGTATATGTATTTAAATATTCACATACAATTCAAAATGATAAAAATATTTAAATTCCATGATTACAATTATATTTTTATTTTTTTTTTTTTAGGACAAAAACATTACCAAATTTTCGATTATTTAATTCCCATTAAGCAATTTTTTTTTACAAAACTTATATTACAAAATATTTCAAAACATTAAAAAGTAAAAATATTAAACATTTAATCTTCCACTCCTTTGGTATCATCAATTTCACTGCAACTGACCCAATGACCAATTGTATTCTCTTTCCACAATGATACTTTATTAGTTTCAGCAGATACTGCAAGTACATTCCCAATTTTTGACCAGCTTACAGTCCAAACACGACCCTCAAACAAATGCATTCGTACAGAAGACCATTTTGAATAATCATCACTATGTGACACTACAACAGTCTTATCTTCAGAACAACTTGCAATTAATTGTCGATTATCACCAATAGTACACGTCCAAGCCACATGACGAACCCAGTCTGTGTGACAGTTTATTTCACCAACTTGTACCCATTGATCATTTTCAACAGTCCATATTTTCACTAAATTATCGCAGCCACCACTTGCTAATACTAACTTTTTCCCAAAGTCTGTTTGATCAGATCCAAACAATAATTCTTTGTATGGAGCCCAAGCTACAGTGTTACATCCATTATGGTGGGCACTAAATGACTTAGAAGACCATTCTTTGTTGAACACRTGAACTCCAATAGACCCATCTGAACTTGCACTWGCTAAAATTGTGCCATGTTGATGGGGTGCCCAAGCAACAGCATTAACTGAAGATTCATGAGTAAATTCAAATATATTAAACCAATCATTAGATTCTTTCCATACAACAACACGTTTATCGTAAGAACAAGAGGCTAATAAATGTCCAGATACTGGATGGGACCAACAAATTTGCCACACAGGTCCGTGATGACCCTTAATGTTAGCCAATAATGTTTTATTACCATTGTTTATACTATATACTTTGATTGTTTTATCACTAGAGCATGTAGCTAAACGTTGACCATAATAATCCAGTTCAGCATCATGAACTTCACCTTCRTGTTCATTCAAAATTAAGCCAGTCATAGGTACCATTTTCATATTAAATCTCCAAACAAAAATAAATGTATATCTGAAATAAGATTTAAAATAGAATTATTAATCTCAGTTTAAAATGAACAAAATAATCAAACATCAAGTAATAGCAGTTACATAAAAAAATTAACGACAACAAAATTTATAAAATACTAACATAAATTACCACGGGATGAATAAAACCGAGATGGACTATGCATGTGTGACAATAGCGATTATTAACTTTTTTTCTTATATGTAACCAATAGCAAATAGAAATAAACAAATATATTRTATACAGTTATGATTTAAAAATTATTAATAGCTGGTTAACCTGTAAACCACTTTAAATTACTGGATTAATCTATTGTTTAAAGTTTCTTTGAATGTTAATTGARTATCAAGTGTTGAGTATTTTTGAACRTTATAAGCCTCAGTCATACACTTTACCTTTTTATATATTTGAAACATGAGGCGATTTCTCTGGACAACTATATCTGAAGTTCTACAAAACTGATAAGTATGATTTTTGTTTTAAACACAAATATTCGGTATTTAAATGAACCATTTAATGAGAAAAGTTCAAATAATTAATAATATTATTCCATATAACAGCTGTTATTAATGGCATACATTTTAATACCCATATGACCTTTATGACTTTTTGAGGTCTTAAATAATATGTGTGCAAAATTTAATGTCTATACTGGTTAAAAACTGTAGATTGGCATTGCATTATTCAGATATAAAGTATCAAGTATTATGATGCATTTTATACTATTATGATGTATTTTATTTTTTAAAAGATACAAGATACTATTATTGTAAACATTTGTGCTTAATAGTTACAAGAAATTTGATTTCGAATTGCAGGACACTCAAAACTCAAAATAAATGTAACAATGTTATAACTTGTAAGATAATTTGAAAAACATCAAATTCAATTAAGGTGCCCATATAMCTACCTACTCKTACAGTCGTACAAATAGGAACTAAATGGAATTTTTGTTCTCATGAAATATGAATCAGTTACCTAGATATGAGTGTAAGACWTCCTCAAGCCTTGTAATTTGTTGAACTAGTCACTTTATTCGAGGAAAACAATGAAAATTAAAAAATTAAATCTAAAGCGCGCTTAAAAGCCATTGGTTTTATTGAAGGACTCTGCAAATATGACACAATTCTAACTGCTCAGATATATTTGAGGGGGAAAAAAAGGCGCTCATCAAGCAAATACTAGAAGACCTGTAAAGTGATGTGTTTTTGTTGTTTACACCAGCGTTTCTTAAACCGTGTTCCGCGGAACCCTGGGGTTCAGCGTAGATTACTTCAGGGTTCCACGAAGCTTGAATTATTTTTTAAAAATGTTCAAGAAAATTACTTATACAAATATTAATTGTATATTAAATAATAATGTAAAATTCATATGGAATAATCTATCAGCTAACTCAATATTTAATAATCTATACTTCTACTTAATATTATAATTCATTTGCAAATAATCCTAAAAAAAGCTAAAAAGCTAAAAAAAATAGGGTATTGCAGTACTTATCATGATAATGATAATGCGCACGAGCTCTTGGAGCTCGTGCGATTATCTTTGCACTGAGTGCAAAAAACTGACGTAATGCAATGAGGTGAAACATAAAAAAGTCCACTCGGTGCACATTAATCTTGCAGATGGAACATAAAAATATGTACTGGTGCAGTCAGTGCAGTGTGGTGGAAAACGCTATTAGTTTAATAAATTGTAAGGTAGTAAGGTAGGTAATAGGTAATGTACAGAACTCATTCATTTTATTTGGTAGGTAACATACTATATATACTAAAAAAGTAGTGAAGTGCTACAAGTGCTACATAAATACCATAATTGAGTTTTTAATTRAGAAAGCAGTATTATGTAAAGGTATGCTACCTTTGTACTTTACAAAACAATCTTGTGAAAAGTACTATCCAACAATTAAAATAATTTTTATTTTACTGAGGGTAGAAATCMAATTACTATATAGTCTAGACTTGAGTTACCGTCAAATTTAACTTAATAGGTACCRACTCATTTCACTATCTACTTATTAGTGA